TGGGAACTTAGGGTGAAGGGCAGGTAATAAACAAATAATAAGGAGGGGGAGCAGGAGATACTTATTATTTGGTGCCCTTTCATCTGAGACCCCGTCATGACACTAAGCATTAGCTACTTGAGGCAACTGCCTCACTCTTCCCAATGATATTAGTGTTGGTTCCCTACAGGTAAAAAAGTAGACAAATAATGATCTACCTGAACACTTGTTGTTAAGTGAGCAAGAACAACTGTCAGGCACTTTGCACATTAAAATTGCTATATCAGTGATGAGTACTAATCAAAAGCTAGCAACCAACTGTAAACAACATGTCACTTAAGTGTTCTGGATAGGATAGATGTTAACAGCTCAACTAAAAGAAGCACATAGCTCGGAATAAAAGAAAACAAAGGCCATCCTATATATATACATATATACACAGTTTTTTTAGCCTTCATGCAGACTTTAATTGAAGAAACATTTTTTTAAAAAAATTAGCCAGGCTTTCAGAAGCATGTATTAGTCACTAGCAATATATTCTCATACATATGCTCAATATTTGGGCAATTTACTATTTTTATCTTAATTAAGATATGTCTTTTCAGCCAGCAACAAGCCAAGTTATCTGTACTGTCATTATGTTAGTACGGCTCTAAATTCAGGGTTTTGTCTGGCACTGGGGGATGGTTCTTAAGACAATTTTTAAACTATTCCTGTGCATGTATGTTTGGTTTTTAAAATGGTGGTAATTCTAGAAGCAGAAGCTTGGAGAACTGATTGTTGCACATTACTGTACATGTAAACCCTTATAATCGGCCTCAACCTGGTCTGGAGAGAACATTGGCTGTGATTTATCTTCCTGCCCCTTTAAGATCTTTGGTAGCAGCCCATTTCCTGTTCTCACACCCTGCCTCTTTATGTTTCCCTCTGTTTCCCTACTCAACCTAGTTACAGTCATTTTTACTGCATACAATAACATGAGTTGTCTTCTGTCATCTCTTAGTATGTCTGTGTGATAAATGACCATGAGAAAAGTTTCGGAGGAAACTGGATTCTTAATATGACTCTGAACTCAAGAGTTTTTAAAAAGGCCCTGAGTGAATGGATATTAGGGAAAAGTGTTAAGATATGTGGGCATAAATTGTGTGAACATGTGTGTACATATGTTAGGACAAGCACAGAAATCAGTTAGAATACATGATTTGCATACCCTGCAAGTGTCCCAGAGAGAATGGTGGCCATTTTGGTTGCTGTGATCTCGTGAGATTTCGCAATGCGATTGCCTCCCCCCAAGTACTTTCTTAGGGCCACACTCTTGCATGGCACCCCAAAACTCACATTTTTTGGTGCCTTGTCCAAAAAAAGCACTGGTGGGGGGAGGACTGCAGCATGAAATCATGTGAGATTACAGCAACCCAACTGGCTGCTGTACTCTTGCAATAAAAAACAGGAAGATGATGTCTATGAAGATGGCATCCCGAATTTTGGCTTCAAAGTGTTGGAGGGTATGGCTTGTACTGCTTGGATAAATATGATTGCTTCTTAGGTGCAAAGTGAATGGAATGGCAAGAATAGGGCCTCAAATTCCCTATAGAAAAATGCACAGGAGCTTAAAGCAGCAAAATATAGGTGGGGGATAAGAGACTGAAAAAAGTAGGGAAAGCGAGAAAGCTCAAAAACCATGAAGGGCAGTCTCCATTGGCAGTGCCTTCCACTGAAGGACTTAAAATAATAGGATCATAGAATTGTACAGTTAGAAGGGAGCACAAGGGTCATCTAGTCCAACCCCTTGCAATGCAGGAATCTTTTGCCCAACGTGCAGCTCAATCAATCTTCTGTGACATAAACAGACATCTCTCTTAGAAGAAGGCAGGTAAAGGATCTAGAAACCAAGTCCTTTGAAGTACGGTTGAAGGAGCTGGGTATATTGAACCTGAAAAAGAGAAGGTTAAGGGGAGATACAATTGTTGTTTTCAGAGCTTGAAGGACTGCTGTGAAGATGGTAGAGGAGAGTTCAGTCGCTCCAGAGCTGATGGCTAGAACCAATGGGTGGGAGAATGTTGCATTCGTTTTTCTAACTTTAATGCTAGTGCCTCTGTCCCACCAATGGGTGTGGTGTGACACAACAGTGAACGTCATTGGATAACATTGCCTCACCCCTATTGCTTCAGCACATGCATGCTTCTGTTTCCCCTAGAAGCAGCAGGAAAGAACTGCATGCTGGCATAGCCTCCCATATTTTGTCACTATACTCCCACCATTTTCCTTGTCAAGGGAGCTGCAAACAGATTTTTTTCTAGAATCAAATAAGACAGAAATGAGCGCTAAACATGAACTATATTCCATTATTTTTTCAGGAGTGAATTTTACGTTGTGTAAAAGCTCAAACGTAATGTGGAAATGTTGGGAAATTGAATAAACTGCCATGCAAATTCAGCCTTTGGCTAAAAATTAGGAGAAACTTCCCATGAGTATGAGTTGTCCAGCAAGGTAACAGACTGCCTCTGGAGGTGGTGGATTATATTTTGCTGGAGGTACTTGGGCAAAGGCAGGCTGTCCATCTGTCAAGAGTGTTGTAGTTAAAGCCTGCATTGCAGATCCTGCATAGAGAATGGTGCTGAATAGCTGAAATGAATCCTCGAAGTTTAAACATTCAAAAGGGGCTAGCTGTCTCATTGCTTCACGTTTAATGGACAGGTTGAGAAGTAAAGAGCACAGTTGGCACCCAAGTAGCCAAAGGGATGGGAGTGTCCCTCAATTTCTCATTCAATTTGGAAAGCCATCTTTGAGGCAGTTTCTCAGGCGATTTAGCCCAAGGGATTTCCCATGAACAATAGCATATGCCTTATCTTTGTTCCTAAATACTAGGGGATATACTAGGAGCAAGACACACACTACCCATTTGATCCATATTTTAAAAGTATGTGTAGTGAAGTGGCCCGTGCAAGCACCAAACCTTATGCTTTGTTGGCGGTTTTTAAGCAGAGGTTGGATGGCCATCTGTCATGGATGCTTCAGTTGAGATTTCTGACTTGCAGAAGGTTGGACTAGATGACCCTCAGAGTCCCTTCCAAAGCTACAATTCTATGATTTTATGAAAAAGAGTTGGCACTTGATAGTATGTCAGTAGGTAAATTTGATAGTTTGTTATCATTGTTCACAATAATGGAGATCATACATCTTAGCTGACAATTTTTCAAGTATAGGAGGAAATTAGGAATTCCCTCACTTCCATCTGTGTGGATTGTTATAGCAAAGTTATTCTTACATCTGAGTGTTTACAATGGAATATGAAGGCATTCTTATTATTATTTTCTGCCAAAGGTTTAAATATGCTGCAGAATTTCCAACAGTAAAGCCGGGGGGGCGAGGCGGGGATAAGGCAAGACAATGCCATCATTTCAACAGTGGTTGATCTGTCTACTATGGACTGGTGGAACCTGTTTCATCTATACAAGTTATAAGGTTCAGACTTCTGAATTAGTCCAAACATTTCTCTAGAGCTGTGGTTAGATTTCCGTTATTACTTATCAGTTGGTGTTATTTTCTTTCAAAAAAACCCCTCTTGTACATCGTAATGTTACAAAATAAAGGATCAAATTTCTGTGTAGATTCAGCAGATTATGGATATATGACAAGTCATTTCTACAATGCATACACACACATATCTGCTGGAACAAGAGCCGTGGCCAACTGTCTGCCACTGTGCTAATGTGATTTTGCCTATGTGCCTTTTCAGAAAAAGTATTTTGACAGGTAAAGGTAAAGGGACCCCTGACCATTAGGTCCAGTCGCGGACGACTCTGGGGTTGCGGTGCTCATCTCGTTTTATTGGCCGAGGGAGCTGGTGTACAGCTTTTGGGTCATGTGGCCAGCATGACTAAGCCGCTTCTGGCAAACCAGAGTAGCATACGGAAATGCCGTTTACCTTCCTGCTGGAGCGGTACCTATTTATCTACTTGCACTTTTTGGTGTACTTTTGAACTGCTAGGTTGGCAGGAGCAGGGACTGAGCAATGGGAGCTCACCCCATCACGGGGAATCAAATCGCCGACCTTCTGATCAGCAAGCCCTAGCTTCTGTGGTTTAGACCACAGCGCCACCCGCGTCCCATTTTTTATTTTTTTTTACAGGTAGGGCCATAGCATATAGCAGAAAACATGGACAAGGTCCCCGATTCAGTCATCAGGAACTCAGGTAGTAAGATTGAGAAATACCTTTATCTAGCACCTTGGAGAGCAGTTCTCCATGCCAGAACACACAGCCCTAGGCTAGACAGACCAAAGATTGGCCAGATTGCAAATAAGGATGCTTGATGTGTTCCTATGGCTATTCCTTTAACTTTTCTACCTACCAGATGCATAAATTAACTGTTAGGATCACAGTGCTTAATTAGCTGCTTCATACTGCAATCCTATGCATGTTAACATAGAAGTATTTCCTTTCATTTCACAGAATTTGTTCACCAAATCACGTAAGCAGTTTCTATGAAATGTACTTAACTATTTCCCACTGACTTTGGTGGAACTTGAACTCAGCAGTGGGCAACATGGTGGGGTGCCACCTCACATCTGCCCTCCAGTCAGCTGCATCACTCCTGCTTCCTGGCAGATAGAATGGGAGGGCAGAGGTGGCACTGAGGTTGGTGTGGTACAAACGCACCTGCAGGAGCACTGGGTTGGCTCTGCTGGTGGGTGTGTACTGCACTGACCTCACTGCTGCTTTGCCCCTCCCCCTCCATCTCCTGGTCAGCAGCAGCAGCACACCTGATCAGAGGTCAGGTGAATGGTGCTGCCCCACCATGAATTATGCCATTACTTGAACCTTATTCACTACTTCTGCCCTCCTGGCACACAATTTCCAAAGCACACACTTGTTGGAACCTTGATACTTCTCTTTTTTAAAAAATAATTTTTATTAAGTTTCATCTTACCGAATTAAACACATCAAACCAATTAATCCAAATTATAACAATACAATTCATATAATCCAATTATTTTCCAAATTATAAATTTTTGTGGGGGGTACCCATGCTTCTTGATCGGCAGGAGTCCAATCCTCGAATATTTATGCTGCTTTCATATTAAGAATGATATTTCCAGTCCCCTCTTCTCAATCCTTGTCGTTACTCATTTTCCTTTTCATTCACCTCCGAGTTGCTCCGTAAGTGGGTTGAAAAAAACAGTCTTATTTGTGTTTCTGTGTGGGCTTTGTACTGCTCTCTCATAAATCACTCTCGTCCAATAGTCCAGGCATGTCCGCTCGAGCAAGCAATCGCCATTTTGTCGTTCCGATGAAATACAGTCTAAAAGCTCGCTCTTTAACTTTCCCTACCTGTTGCATCGTAAATTAGTCTTTTTCCAGGAGGGCTGCCCCTTCCAGTTCGCAATCTCATCGAAAATAATAAATCTTCGGCTCGCCCTCCCCAAGACCAAACCTCCTGCAACACAGGTCTCGTATCACATCTCCATTCTTACTGCGTCACAAAGAGAGCCCTTCTTCTTTCCAAATCCTTCACAGAGTAAAACCTTTAAGTTCATATTATTCTCACACAGTTCATTTTTAGTCCCATTTGCCAATTAATTGCTGTGACGGATCTTCTAAGAGGGAGGGTTATTAGTTAATCACATAGAGCAAAAAAAGGTAAAAGTCATTTCCTCCCTCTTTCAGTTCCATTGCATTCCATTCCACTTACCATGTCTGTAGTACTTTGATGTAATCTTCCGTCTCAGTCTTCTTCATTTCGATAGTAAAATTGTTAGCAGATAAAAAAAACCTCCTGCCTCTCTTGAAGCATGTGCGTTATCTTTCACCAATTTTTTTCCTTTTAAGTAACGCAACTAGTTTCGCACCTGGAAGCAGCTTCAGAGGAGTTCCGAGGCCCGCCGAGGGTTGTGCACCCAGTGTCTCACCCCCTCCTTCTTCCGAACTCGGGGGTGATTTATGGCAACAGCGGGTGAAAACTGCATGTCTCCCCCCTGGAGAGATGAGGGAGACTGATTTACTCCCCATAATCAGCCTCTAATTACCTCGTGCGAGCTGGATAGATGTTAATATCCGCCATCTTCCAAGACACCCCCGGAACCTTGATACTTCTCATCCCCAGAATCATATTTGCAGCTCCACCCCCTTGTGCAAGAGACTGAATTTCTGCAGAGGAAGCCTGCTGTCCTTGAGCAGCTTCCATGTGTGATTAAGAATCTGGAACACATGGAAGATGGCTGGGAAAGGCTGCAGGAATGAGGTAGGAACTCTGTGGCCAGTGAGCTCAACCACACACTCTACTTGTGTAGAGCATTGCAGTGCAAAGCAGAACCCTCCTGATATACCCCAGTGTATTGTAGGCTGAACAGTTAATTTAGAGTTCTAACTTATTCTTTAGCTACCCAAGGGCATGAAAGCTACCTAACAAAAAAGAAAGAAAAAGAAAAGAAAAAGAGAGTAATATTGGCTAGTTAGCTTCCATAGTCAAGACCTGCTGTCTATTTAGCATAGCTAATCGCCCCATACCCTACTTTTCATATCTAACCTTATTTAAAACACATTAGTTGGTCTACAATAAATAATTGTAGAGTATAGTTCAGCAGGTGGCCTTTATGTATTTTAACCGGGCACTGAAAAGTGGGAGAAGCAACTGCAGTCAGAGTACCTTTCCCAGTAGTGATACTAACACCCTGGATAGCTTATGAAAGGTTAATGAACACATAATAGGTCTAGCTGCTGAGAATACACGCATGCGCACACACAACCAATTCTGTCATTATGACTCATTCTATTAATTATTGATTATTAATAATAATTACAATTATTAGTACGTGGAATTACTTTTATTACTGTATTACCATGGTTATTAGTAATATCACTAATAATACCTCTAGCAGTTTTAACTGTGCAAACTGTGTTTTACCATTCTTATGTCACTCATTTAACACTTTAGTATAGTGGCGTTGCGCTTTCATTTTCTATTATATTCCTGCTAAGTCATTTTCATGCAGATCAGATTCAGGGCACAGTTTGAAGAAGTAGTGGATTAAAAAAAAAGCAGAAGAAACTAAAACCCCTTCTAGCTGGTACTGAAAGATCAGGAATCTTCATAGATGTATAGTAAGTCTAGATGAATAGCTAAACTCTTGACACCGTCGACTCTACAAAGGGGGCGTTCTCGCTGTGGTCTTTGCACACACACATCAAAAATGTCATTCTCCCCAGTGATCTGAGGGTTTTTCCTGAGCAACAGTGATCTAAAAGAGAAAAATTGAAATTACATTCAAAACTGTGTGGATGCAGACAGCCCCTAGCCCAGGTGAGCAACATTTTTTTGTGTCACAGGGTCACATTCCCTCAAACTGGCAGGGGCCATATCCTGGCAGGAGACAGGGCTGAATTCAACAGTGCCACCCCTTCTCTTTCTCTCTGCTCCCCCATTTCATTCTCCCCTGTCAAGTTTGCTGCTGGAAGGACAGCTTACTCATGCCAGAGGCCTGAACTGATCATTTACACAGACGTTCTGAAATTATGAGGATCATATGAAATTAGGGCAAGGCTTTAGGGCCACAGGATGCCCACCGCCACACAAGACTTTCTCTTGCTGTGGTATTTTATGCACTGTGGCTTCCTGTTATTTCTGTTGATTACAGTTTACTAATTATTATTGTAATTGTCAAGAGTGAATTTCTGTTTAATTATTATTTATTGATATTTTGAGAGTTAATTTTATTGCCTATTATTATATTCCAATGGATTATTGCACATTACTTGTGAGATAACTTATTTATTATGTGAGATGACTTGTTTATTTTAAAGTTATCTTTCTATTATGACTTTTTTATTGGATCAGATTGTGTGATCTTCTCATATACGTTGCTGTTTCTTCAGCTTACAAAACACCTTGTATCTAGTAATATAGAAAGGCAGTATACTTATTAAAGGTGAAAAATGAGATGAAATGAAACAAGACAATCCCTGTTGGGTAAAATAACTGTCACTCAACATTGCCCTTTTGATGCCAACCCATCAGGCAAGAGAAGAATAGCTCAGTCGGTAGAGCATTTGACTCTTAATCTCAAGGTTGTGGGTTCAAGCCCCACATTGGGCAAAAGATTCCAGCATTGCAGGGGGTTGAACAAGATGATCCTCGTGATCCCCTCCAACTCTACAATTCTATGATTTGCAGTGCAATGCTCCCAACATCTAATCATCTCATGTAGTCGCTGTAATTGACTGTGTACATATTATTGGTTTAAAACCCAGCAAAGTCATTTGACCGCCCTCTGTGTTTCAAATATCATTTGCATGCTGTTGTACACATAGGTATGGCTGGATGTGTTTCTAATTCTCCCACTGTCTGTCCACACCAGTGGGCAAGAAGTGGGTGTGGATGTCATCATAAGACTTACATTTTCAAATCAGGTGGAAGCTGGTTTGTGGGGCAAACACAGCATTTCTCAAGAAACTACAGGATAGATGTGAATTGTAGCTAATGTCATGCCATTGGTGGAAGTGTCCTGGATGCAGAGCAAACAGCCATTGCATGGGATCAAATGCCACTAAGATACTTAGGATAATTTTAACGTCAAGTGCCACACTTCTGGTGCAGCTCCAGATGCAAATTGTTGACTAGATTAACCAAGAAAGTTTATACTCTGAAGCTAGGTTCATTTTCTATACCAATCTCACCCAGAAGATCCTTGATCTGCTCCCCACCCTTCAACCCTTTCAGTTACTTTGTCCCTGAAATGTCAAGTTGAATACAGGGTAAAAAGCATTTATATTGGCACTTGACTGAAGTATTCAGCAAAGCGAAGTTTCAGGAATTGAAAACTGCCTTCTTCAACCTAGCAGGTATCACCTGTATTATATTCACCCCAGCTCTCACAAAAAAGTATTGTTATTCAAAAAGCAAGTGAAACTTATCCAGCAAAACTGGGCAAGTGTAAACTTAAACTCCAATCCTATGCATGTCTACTCAGAAGCAAGTCCCATTGAGTTCAATTGCAAATGTACCTTTCAATCAGAAACAGCTTTTTTTGGTAAACACAGTTTTTAAAAATCTACTCTAGGCAAGGGATGCCAGTGTTTTCAGAACTTTTATTACAGGGATATAGTATACCTATCATTTTCTTATGCTTCCTTAACCAGCAAATGATGTGGTAAGATTGTGGGTAGTGGCAGCATGTGGAACAGAACCATTTTAATTTGTCCCATCTGGCATATTAACATTAATAAAAGATGTTTAAAAAAGAGATGCCTTGAAAGGCTTTCACCTACTGATTTAACAAGATAATAAGGAAAGCTTGCAATCTGCCGCTAAATCTAACTGATAAGAATAAGAAGGAGTTTAAGATGATGCTCAAAGAGATTAACCTCTGAGACACGGATATTAAAAAGCCTGCTGATTTCAGCCTAGGCGTGGCAGAGCTGGCTCTTAAAAGCCACTTATTTTTGATTAATTGAGTAAATCCACTTCCAGAAAAATTTACACACAGCTAATTTAACAAATACTGTAAACCATCTAGGGATGTTTAGGCAAGGAGGTCACTGCAAAAACTTGAGCATTCCTAACCCCAGACATGTTGCACAAAGGATACCTCATGCTGAGGAATTAACTACTCTTTGATTGTTCCATTAAAATTTAACCATCAAAGACATCTATTTTAAGACTACACTAAGGGAGTAGAAAACAATATTAATTCCACCGGCATAATTGTGCCCGGAGTTATTGTGGTTATTTGGATAGCAGGGTCCTAAGTAGGAATATTCACCTACTGCTTTTAAATGAACTCTGGAGAAGTGTTGCATGATGGTAAGAGTGTTGGACAAGGACCTGGGAGACCAGGGTTCGAAACCTCACTCGGCCATGAAGCTCACTGTGTGACCTTGTGTGCCTGTCACAATCTCTTAGCCTATCTCAAAGGGTTGTTGTGAGGATGATATGGGGAGGAGGAGGAGAACCAATGACCCCACCTTGAGGTCCTTGGAAGAAAAGGGTGGTATATAATAGTAATAAATAAATAAATGCTTTTTTATATATAAAAGCAACAGATTAATGAGATTGGAATGGATTTGTGAGCGAAAATACATGAAAGTGAAATGGACTAGAAATAAGTCTATAAGTAATGCTTTCAGCTTTCTTTCCTGGGCAGGTGTCAGGCTTCCTGGAGTAGATAAGCAGAACAAAGGAAAAGGAGTCTTCTTAACATTTGTTGTTGTTGTTTAGTCATTTAGTTGTGTCTGACTCTTCGTGACCCCATGGACCAGAGCACACCAGGCACTCCTGTCCTCCACTGCCTCCCGCAGTTTGGTCAAACTCATGTTCGTAGCTTCAAGAACACTGTCCAACCATCTCGTCCTCTGTCGTCCCCTTCTCCTTGTGCCCTCAATCTTTCCCAACATCAGGATCTTTTCCAGGGAGTCTTCTCATGAGGTGGTCAAAGTATTGGAGCCTCAGCTTCAGGATCTGAAATCAGGGGCTGATTTCCTTCAGAATGGATAGGTTTGATCTTCTTGCAGTCCATGGGACTCTCAAGAGTCTCCTCCAGCACCATAATTCAAAAGCATCAATTCTTCGGAGATCAGCCTCCTTTATGGTCCAGCTCTCACTTTCATACATCACTACTGGGAAAACCATAACTTTAACTATACGGACCTTTGTCGGCAAGGTGATGTCTCTGCTTTTTAAGATGCTATCTAGGCTTGTCATTGCTTTTCTCCCAAGAATCAGGCCTCTTTTAATTTCGTGACTGCTGTCACCATCTGCAGTGATCATGGAACCCAAGAAAATAAAATCTCTCACTGCCTCCATTTCTTCCCCTTCTATTTGCCAGGAGGTGATGGGCCCAGTGGCAATGATCTCCGTTTTGAGCTTCAGACCATATTTTGCACTCTCCTCTTTCACCCTCATTAAAAGGTTCTTTAATTCCTCCTCACTTTCTGCCATCAAGGTTGTGTCATCTGCATATCTGAGGTTGTTGATATTTCTTCCGGCAACCTTAATTCCGGCTTGGGATTCATCCAGCCCAGCCTTTCACATGATTAATTCTGCATATAATTTAAATAAGCAGGGAGACAATATACAGCCTTGTCGTACTCCTTTCCCAATTTTGAACCAATCAGCTGTTCCATATCCAGTTCTAACTGTAGCTTCTTGTCCCACATAGAGATTTCTCAGGAGACAGATGAGGTGATCAGGCACTCCCATTTCTTTAAGAACTTGCCATAGTTTGCTGTGGTCGACACAGTCAAAGGCTTTTGCATAGTCAATGAAGCAGAAGTAGATGTTTTTCTGGAACTCTGAAGCTTTCTCCATAATCCAGCACATGTTTGCAATTTGGTCTCTGGTTCCTCTGCCCCTTCGAAATCCAGCTTGCACTACTGGGAGTTATTGGTCCACATAATGCTTAAGCCTGTCTTGTAGAATTTTAAGCATAACCTTGCTAGCATGTGAAATGAGTGCAATTGTGCAGTGGATGGAGCATTTTTTGGCACTGCTCTTCTTTGGGATTGGGATGTAGACTGATCTTCTCCAATCCTCTGGCCACTGCTGAGTTTTCCAAACCTGCTGGCATATTGAGTGTAGCACCTTAACAGCATCATCTTTTAAAATTTTAAATAGTTCAGCTGGAATATCATCACTTCCACTGGCCTTGTTATTAGCAGTGCTTTCTAAGCCCTATTTGACTTCACTCTCCAGAATGTCTGGCTCAAGGTCAGCAACCACACTACCCTGGGGTGTACAAGACATCCATATCTTTCTGGTATAATTCCTTTGTGTATTCTTGCCACCTCTTCTTGATGTCTTCTGCTTCTATTAGGTCCTTTCCACTTTTGTCTTTTATTATGGTAATCTTTGTACGAAATGTTCCTTTTATATCTCCAATTTTCTTGAGCAGATCTCTGGTTTTTCCCATTCTTTTGTCTTCCTCTATTTCTTTGCATTGCTCGTTTAAGAAGGCCCTCTCGTCTCTCCTTGCTCTTCTTCGGAAATCATCTCCTACGCATTTTGCTTGCCTTCTCTCCCCCGCTATTTGTAAGGCCTCGTTGGACAGCCATTTTGCTTTCTTGCATTTCCTTTTCATTGGGATGCTTTTCATTGTGGCCTCCTGTATAATGTTATGAGGCTCCATCCATAGTTCTTCAGGCACTCTGTCCACCAAATCTAAATCCTTAAACCTGTTCCTCACTTCCACTGTGCATTCATAAGGGATTTGATTTAGGTTGTATCTTACCGGCCCAGTGGTTTTTCCTACTTTCTTCAGTTTAAGCTTGAATTTTGCTATAAGAAGCTGATGATCTGAGCCACATCAGCCCCAGGTCTTGTTTTTGCTGACTGTATAGAGCTTCTCCATCTTTGGCTGCAGAGAATATAATCAATCTGATTTTGATGCTGCCTATCTGGTGATGTCCATGTGTAGAGTCATCTCTTGTGTTGTTGGAAAAGAGTGTTTGCGATGACCAGCTTGTTCTCTTGACAGAACTCTATTAGCCTTTGCTCTGTTTCGTTTTGAACTCCAAGGCCAAACTTGCCAGTTGTTCCTTTTATATCTTGACTCCCTACTTTAGCATTCCAATCTCCTATAATGAGAAGAACATCCTTCTTTGGTGTCATTTCTAGAAGATGTTTAATTTCTCGATTTCAATAAACAATCATTATTTGTTTGTTTATACCCTGCAGAAGGAAGCTAAAGATTTGAAAGGCAAGCAAAACATTACCTGACAATCAAAATGCTATAATGCTATACTCCTGCCTGTCAAACCTTATTTTACCATTATGAGTGGGTGTGTTCACACAATACATTTGGAGCACCATGATACCACTTTGAACAGTCATGGCTTCCCCCAAAGGATACTGGGAGCTGTAGTTCATTGCTAATTCCCCTTCCAAAGCTACAGTTCCCAGAGATTCTTGTAAAGAGTGATGGATTGTTAAACCACTCTGGAAATTGTATGTTTGGGAGGGAAACAAGGGTCTCCTAACAATTCTCAGCATCCTCGACAAACTATAGCTCCCAGAGTTATTTGGAGAAAGGGATGAGTGTTTGACATGGCATCATAGTGTTTTAAATGCGTGCTGTGAATGTAGCCACAGTCTTTACACTC